CTCAACTGATCTTTCACGTTTTGATAAGTTAAAGTGCATCAAACTTAAACGGCAACTCTTGTCGTTTTCCACAGCATTTTGAGCGCTGAAAACCTTGCAGTTATTTTCAAATATTTCGCCGACGTGCCGGCACTCAGTATTCGCACAATGGAATCGAAATTTTGAAAAGTATATCATGTCCCTGATGGACTAAAACAAGTGGGCAATTGAGTTCAGAATATCAGTACAAACTTTTGAGTCTCATCTAGGTTTCCCGTTCTCCCAGTGGTGCATGGGAATTATAACACCAGAAAGTTTCCGCCAGAGGTATGGTTGCTTAAGTGGACACTGAAATGTGGTGATCTGTAAAAATATGAAAGTGAATTAGAATGATTATTGGTTCCGGCATATGTGCTACGAAATGCAAGGTTTTGGCGTAAGTTTTTCACTACATTCACAAAAGTTTTGCAGGTGCGTGCATTGTGCGGCTAATGGCCCCTAACAAAGTAGTAGCACATCGCGGAATTTAGTGACGCCTTCAGTCATGCGCCTCAGCATGCAGGCCGTGTCTCACACAATAAATGGAGATCAGTAGGTTTTTTCGAGTGGATAATGGGAAACCCGGAAAAGGATCAGGGTATGCTTTGCAATGAAGCCAGCGACGGACAAACCAGCATATTGAGCTGAAAAATACTTGATCTAAGTTTTGGACGATATCGGTCGCTTGCAAAATACGCAGCACTGAACGTGTGCTGTAACAAGATACCTATAAATAACTTTTCAAACCGCGGCAATCACCAAGAGATTTGTCTGAAATCGCGAGCTTGAAATCAGCCATACACTTCCCATAGCCTATATCTTGGCCGACCTGTCACTGAGGCACAATTTTCCACTGTGGACAAGCAGGAGCACGGATCAACAATACCAGCGGCGTCAATGCGCGATTCAGCAGACAACCATTTTCAGGATCCTATTGTTCCACAGTTCTAAACCATTGTTTCTTGTTAGAAATACAGAATTGCGGTCACCCAGAAATTTGTTGATGTTACATTAAAAGGTTTGTCGAATGATTTCAACAGCAACACACCGTTTCCTGTAAGTGAGGTCAATACTTCAGTCGACATGGACTTCGTCAGAAACGTTGATAAAAATAACTTCGCAAGAATGAAGCCACAACTCCTCGTTAAGCTCGGTTATTCTTCACTATTCAAAGACCAGATGCCCTACACTTTTTGTCGCCGCAATATTGCAGAAAGTAGCCTGATGAACTTCGGTCTGGAAAGCTCGGAAGCCATTCGTTGGAATTCGGTTGTGTAGTTGATTTTCGTTCGGATGTTTTTTTACTTGCTTTCGTGAATGCTTTCGGCCTCGTTTAAAATGAATGTGCGATAATCACTCTAAAAGTAGGATAAACCAGCACGGCGGAAAATTACTCTGCTGACTCCATGTAGCATGTCCCATCACTTGTACCATCGACGAACTATGGCGGTCCTGTTTCTTACCCTTTGGGTTGCACACCGTCAATCGATTCTCATACAGAACGGACTGGAGGTGTGACTTCCGTTTAGGGCTTGCTTGTTGGCAGAAAGTCTGCGATTATTTTCTTATAAACAGAACATCGGCCCCGCATTGTTTTGATGTACTGAGTTAATATTGTTTGTTGTACCAAACTGTTAACCTAAGGTTGTCCGTCCGGGTCAGCTAATCGATTATATAGAAAACAAGAGGAAACATTTTGAACGTTTTCGTTCTGGAATTTAATTCTGATATACGGACAACTGAGCCAAGTAAGGGCAGATATTGTTCTGAGCTCGGAGTTAAGGCCGACTTTCGATTAATCCCCAAGAAAAATAAAATTTTGAACCCATTAATAATGAAATAACTCGTGGGAGTAGAAAAACACTCCGATCTATTTCACTCCTACCCATCGCTGTAATTTTGAACCCGGTCTGTTATGATGTTATATAACAGGCTAAAATAAAGTTCTGACGAGTTGGAGATAATGATCTTCTTATTGGTCCCACAAAAGGATGCCCACCCATTTAACTTCTGCCCTGCAAACCTCTCACCAATAAACTTCACGAGAAAAGCCTGCGCCGGTTGGGGATAAGTGCTAAAATTTAAAAGTTGCTACTCTGGAAGGGTTGTCTGGAGTACATGCTGGTGGCGAAACTCTTAAAGTTGGTGATACACATCCGAATTGAGGATTTCTAGAGTGCTCTTCGATAACTACTGGTGAGCATGTCGTTACGATGAAAAGCAACTATTTTTCTTCCATGGAGACAGGTTTTAGTACACGATATATGTTAGTTCGATTTTCCATATGGGCTCGCTCCAGCCACCACAGAAAGCTAACAAGTTCTTCGAAACCAGTATTTGCAAATAGATCAGGTTGCTGGGTTTCGTAGTGTCTTTCCTTCTATGCAGTTGAATTAAACATGTGTACATAGAGTTCGTAATAGAGTATACAAAAAAGCCGCGGGCTGTAGTTGCAGTCGAAAGGTCGTACATAACACCTAATGATGTAAAACGGCGTGAAACAATTGGTTTCGTAAAAACGATATGGAGGCGAAAAATAGCCCAGGAAGTGGATTGCTTTCCCTACGAGAAGATGAAACGCGTCTGTCTTTGAAGGAAACGAGAGGTACGCAAAAACAAACCGATACGGTGAAATCGAGCATTATTACTAGTGCGCCGCCCCAATCAGCTGAGTTCAAATGATTTGAAAATGAAACTGGGCGCAAGGTTTCATCACACAACATGGCTATTAGCGTACGGCCTGCTGACGGTATGATTAGAGCAAAGTTGCGCACACCAGAAGGAATGGCAATGTCTAATTGAGGCTATCTATCGGTAACTGATGGCCGCATGGTTCACCCGAGTTATGACTGTCTCGGGGTCGTTGGCCTCCAAGACTGTAGTGGCCAGGAGCAGTAGTCGCTCCCCATTATCCGTACATTGAGCATCGACTCCAAATCTGCCGCCACAATGCGCTTCTTTGGACCTTATTCTAGCGACCTGGAAATTCATACCGCCAGCCAGTATTATCTTATCCGTCTTTCCTGTTGAGCGAAGCAGTCGCGACAGATCTTGTTGAAGCCTATTCTTCTCAGGCTCACAACAGCAGTCTGTCGGGGCCTACGCTGATACGACACCTTTCGCCTCATCGACCTGCACTAAACTTAATTGAGACAGACAACCCTACAGCGCAAAGGTGACTGCTTACTGGGATTCGGTCCAGTAAGGCGCTTTTAATCTTGGAGCCGAGTGCAACTCGCACGCCGTAGATACCACTAGCTAATGAATCAGAATCACCGGATACGTGGAACATCCGACCTCCTGCTCTGCGTGAATGTAATGGGGTCATCTAGGCGTGTTTCGGAGACTCAACATATATCGATAGAGAGGGAAAGCAAGGTTTCAGAAAGAGATGTCTGTTGCCTAATTTGTCACAGAATACGGATATTAAAGGGTCAGATCTTTTGAGGTTGATCGGTGATTATTTTTGGTTTATTTTGCTGGGGGACTGTTTGGATACCCAACAGTGGCCAGGGGATTGGCAGATGGTTGATGGTACTGTATCTTTCGGCGAGTGGAATGGAAAGCCAGTGGACGAAGAGTCGCATGGGCGAACGATATTTTTCGGTTGCCCAAACTGAAGGGGGTTTGAGGAAGGACCGTGCCCCTAGCCTCTGACTCAAAAATCTGGAACGCGAGGCAGTGGTTGTTACGGTTTTCTTAAGGGAGCCTTCCCGGAGTCAACGATTCAATAGTCTGACCTCTTTGGCTGCAGGAGACCGGCCTGGCCAGAGGACGCAGGGAGTAAGGCATTACCGTCGCACTGTTAATGTACCTGCCACAGCAGGCACCATTTAAGCAGCACCAAACTCCGATTTCAAAAGCATTTTCACCGTATTGAATAAGGCGCCAGTAGTCACGGCCAACTGTTGAGCGATCGGAGTGTGAGGTTCTTAGGGACAACATGGTGGGAGAAGGCAGCATAACTTCTTCCACATATATGGATATGCTCATCACATGGGGAAATGCCCTACTGCCTATATAATTCTATCACAGAGGGCGACACGACCCCACCTCCAGACCATCCAGCTGAATCTCTCGTTTGCAACTAAATGTGCCGCTCCAGGTCCGTCCATGTTCCCGTGTACGATATTCCAGATACGGAATACACTGGATAGATATAATACACTACTCACAAGGTTGCTGAAAACTCTTCAACAACCCACAGCCGGTTTCGCACTTCTTGGGGCTCAGCTCATCAGGTAGAGTTTTCGACAATCATTCACTACTTGAACCCAAATTCGACCCACACACTCATCTGCATACCTACAAGTTGTCCAAGCTTCTGATCTCTTTGCTGGTTCACACAGCTGACAACTGAACAAGCAAATTTAATGTCAGGTTGCAAATCTACTGTTGCCCATATTTCTGTCCGCTTTTTCTACTGTAAAGCCCTCACAGAAACACGTGTTCGTAAAATTGAAATGCATCATAATCGTGCGATGGGGTTTGAATGTAAGAATATGGGAACGAAGCGGCTTACGTGGCGGCAGGAGTAAGTACATTTTATGTCGGTGGTGCATGCGTGGTAAGAGATCATTGTAAAATGGCAACAGAGAACGGGTCGCTGTAACGGTTTTGGACAGAGATCGCGGTTAAATCGCAAGTCCGATGACCGAATTAAGAACGTATCGGGCCCGTTTCGGTTCTACCCGTTCAAACGACATGAAACTTTACTAGAATACAAAGGAATTCGGATAGGAGTTGGATGCTTGTGACCATGTGATCTGGTCGGTTTACCGAGAGCCGAGAGAGTTGACTGTCAGTACAAACAGTGTCTGAGCGCATTGCGAGGCCTGGTGCGTACGATTTCAGTGTTTTGTGCTTCAAGATCCGTCCTCTACAGTTCTAACCTAGAGGTATTAGACTTACCTAAACCGCAGTCGAAACAGAATGAAGTGCACAATACAGAAGAGAAGCAAATAACCTGATGTGATAAGTTACTCGATTTCATGAGAAGTTCATATCAAAACGGGTAAGTCCAGAAAGTAGATACAACTTAAATGCACGGCCAGATACACGTGACAGATGGTGAGGAACGTTTCGCTACGAAAATGTTTCACAGGATGTCGTTTGCAGGATAGCATCTGAATGACCACATATCAGCTGGGTATTGGTCATATCGAACGAGATGACGTTACGGGCTGTGGTACCAGTGGGAAGGGCGGAACCGACGACGAGCTTTCTCCGTGAGCCTTTGAAGCCGGTCCACGAACCTGAAGAGAATATAAAGGATAAAACGATTCGCCGCCTCGATGAGTGGAGTGTTTAAATAAGGACCGTATGTAAAACGAACATCAGTAAACTATTTTTACAGGATAATTTAACATTGAAAAGCTTTTGTGGTTTTAAAATGGAAAACTAAGAGCTGAAAGCAGATTGTACCTATTGCGCAAACGAGTCGAGCTGGAAAGGCAGGGAAAAGCTGGTGCTAACGAAACAAACAGATAGTAAAGGTCACAAACCTGTCTCGTTTCGACAGCTGATTTGTAGCAAACCAGCCGTCTCTGTGGCCAGATATAAATGTTGAGGTTGACGGGGATGGAAGCCGACTTCCCACACACTTCGACCTTGACAAGCCCCTTCAGTTAGCGGATACTGGTCGGCACGCAAGTCCCATATATAGGCCGGTGTACCTGAGCCTTCGACGCCCCCAACAGCAAGAAGGTGAGGCTGACCAGGGTGGTGAGAAAGACAATAGAGTGGCTGTGTCTCTGAAGGTCTGTAAGGCACAGAGAGAGAGAGAAGGGATGGGATGAATGTATCCTTTGTCTGCTGCGTGAAACCCACTCCAGCGGTTCGTTGAACTATTCAAACATAGTAATACATATTTCAACACCCATCAGCGCGTAAGTATTTGAGGGGACGATGAAAATAGCTCGCTCCCGGACGTTTAACGGTTGTCCGGAGAGTGGAAATGGGCCAAGGTTAAGGGCAGTGGACAGGCTCAGCGACTGTACTTACAATGTACGTGATCCATGAGCAAATTAGGTTGACGAACCGCTACAGTTACGAGCT